CATGATAATCCACCCTTTTCAACCAAAAGCGTGCAACCAAAATTTGATAATGGAATAAATCATGCCTTTTGCATCTAGCCTATGTCTTAAATTACGACAGCTTACAAGAATATAAAGAAATCTGACATGTTGCTAGACTAATAAACTTGTCACTTTAAAAATCAACCTCACCTCTCATCACAGCTGTAACTTCTTTCGCAATGAATATGCAAGTGTGTATCATTGTAAGGAGGCCATTTAGCACACGTACAGCACTACAATTACATGCAGGTATGTGGAACTTGCATCTTTATTACCTGCCCTCAGTACCGATATCACAGTAGTCAGGGGAACCACTGCATCCAAGATACTGCTGCTAAAATTGCAGACCTGGCCTTGGTCATATACATTATGCCCGCTGCAAGCTGCTTAACAAAAACAACCTATGCAAAACAGTAGCACATGTTAAGTGCTTTTCAAGTTTATTGCAGAGAAAAATCTTGTAACTTTGAAAAGCAGAACTCATTTGACCTTAGTACTGAGAAACTTCCAAGACCTCTTCTCTCCCTATGACACTCAGACAAAACAAAGGTATGTACAGGTCAGATGCCTCTTACCTACTCATAAACATGATCAGTTCATGTAGCTGGTAGAAGACAAGAATTCAAGAGAATTACAGCTGAATATACCCTAAAACTGTTTTTTAGTGTCATCCACTCAGTGACTAAATATGGAAGGAAATGGAGAAGTCTAAACTGCCAATGCAAGGAGAAACTTATTTTCACAGGCTAGAAGTACTCTGCAGGACTATCACAATGGCAGTGCTCAGTGCTGTAGTAGTGCTATTAACTAAAAGCAGTTATGCTCAATTATCTGTTATTGGCTTGCTTATCAGCCTAATTAAACTTAACCAAGTGGCCACACTCAGGCAGTATTAGCTTATCCTTCAACCACAACAAAATTCTTATCCTCTGTATCATATAAATGCACTCTTATGGCTTCCAAGGTGATGTATAGTGACGTATACTATTAAACCTCTACATTATTAGCCAATTTCTGGCAGAGTCAGCTCTGACAGGACAACTCTGGACTGTAATTCAAGGAGACACCGTGGCCCCACACAAAAT